GACACCCAGTGAGGGAGACGTTTCACTGCCGCAGTCCTGGACGAAAGAAAAGACGCGCTTCTTGAAGCGATCGGAGGAAGTGCTCCTAATTCGGGTGATAGGATTTTTGCCCGCCTCTCGCAAAACCGCACAAGGAGGTGACTCGGAAGCCAGCAAGGCCGCCGTGCAGTTCCAGGACCTCGGCTCCAGCCACTGGGTTGGCACGACCATGTCGCCCCAAGGCGGCCGGGCTCCCTCTGTCCTTTGCCTGATTGTCATAGCGGCCGGTAAGGTAGCGGGACGTGCGGTTTGTTAAAGAAAGTTTATCAGGCTAGCCGCTCGCGTATAGCCTTGTATTTAACCAATAGTGAGTGGCCTCTGTTCGCACGACGCGCTTACGATTAACTTGTTTGTGTTTTGCTCAAACCAGTTTTCTGCATTTTCACAACACGGCGACTAGCCCTAAACTAACCGGCTGGTTTCGTGTAGTGTACAACAGCTAGGCTAAAATACGACTTGCTAATTTGTGGTTCAGAGCGTCATGTAAACACAGCTAGCGTGTCAGCGGCAAGTTGCAGCCTCTTATTAAGATCAGAGGCGCCAATTCTGGCCAGGTTGGGATATATAAATAGGGTTGATCGGAAGCTGAACGTGAGTCAGCAGTTCGATGCAGTCGAAAATAAGAAAAGCTAATACTTGGGTTGAATTAAGACCATCTTATACTCGAAGTCATTTGAAATAATAGTTCCGCTGCGTTTCACGCTGAGGACTCCTACCGCACCCGAGTCGGAGCGTCGCAGTGTGAGAAGATTGTACAAAAAAAAGAGGGGGGTTCAGAGGAGGGTGTGAAGATGATCAGCCGCTAGGAGAAGTCCTGTAAGGTGAAACTGAAGTGAGCATGGTCAGTCTGGGGGGAGAGGAGGTAGGAGCGGTAGGGCTGGATGGCAAACAGTCTGCACATATCCGGAGGCCTTTACGCAGGTTTGGGCAAAGAAGGCAAGATAGGTTTTTGTGAGAGCGTGAGGGGGGGGAATCACTTTGTGATGGTAGCGACTCTTCAGCAATGCAGCCAATTGCCACGGGAGATGCGTCTCTCCCCCCTCCTTCTCGGGGGAACAGCCATCTGTTGGAGAAGTTGTAATTCTGGATTTCTCATATTAAATGGAGGAGAGGACTTGATGGCCTAGAAAATTCCCTTCCCGTTCTGTGGTTGTATAACATAAATGAACTTTTTGAAGCTGCTAGCCAGCATGGGTCATCTGAAGATCCTTCCAGTTGATTTGTTTTCTAAAACGAAAATACTTCCCCCTCTTTTCATCTTCAAAGCCTGCAAGTACATATTTTTCAAGTGCATTGTTTGGGGTCTGCCTTCAAAAAGGGTGTGCGGTCCTCATGCATGCTTTGTGGTATGCGATATTGAAATGGTTGGTTAGAAATACCCCACAAATAGGACATGCCTTCCTAATGGAAGTACTAGAACTGAATGGATTTTTTAAAGTGAACGTTCCACCTCCGGTTCTCTTAAAAGAGGGTGTGTGATGGGAAGGAGAGGCAGGGCATTGCGGGCAAAGCTCTCCAAGGAACAATATAAAGAAATCAAGAGGCGGAAAAGATACCATTGGAGAAACTGAAACTTAACCACTGCAAAACTACCTTGCGTGATCAGGCAGGCAGGTAGTGTGGTAGAGAGCAAGAGATCTAGAGGGTGGCTTGATAAATAAGTACGCTGAATGTCGTTTGATCTCCATTTAAGATAGATTACTGCTGATAATTGGCTTTGTCTAATATTGTTGGCTTTGTCTAATAGGTTTGTTACTGCAGACATATATTTTAATCTATTATTCTTTATAAATCCAGGCTAGTTTGCAGCAATTTAAAAGTTTTATATTATATAATAAAACAGTGCATTTGAGCAACCATCATATGTATATTCAAACATTGTAGTTGTAAAAACTACCATGCAAAGTACTAAATACATTTGGGAAAATGTATTGAAGAGACATGTCGCTGTGGTATAGCAGTTGTGTTATCTACATTTCCACTGGCATTTTCTGCAATAAATACTGTGATATGCAGGTATATAAAACACAGCCTTCCTGTGCACTCTCCACATATATTCCTATAGTTTGGAGAATTGAAGGTCAAGACATCTGGAGGGTACAGGGTAGGAGAAAGCTGTATCGGTGGATAGTGAGCGGCTAATCAGGCTGACGTGTGGAATTGTACACAGCAGTTAGAGACAGAGAAGCTGTCCCATCCTGTAGCTAGCAGTTGTGCCTAGGGAGATCATCACATCTGCGGTGGCACAACATTGTCTTGGATGAGTATTAATTACACCCCTAATTGGTTGTTTCCCTAATTGGGTTGAAAATGTATTAGGGACATGGGTCTCTAGAAATAAGTAACCATCAGTCTTCACCACTTGGTTGTGTATGAACAACGTGGCCTACCTTTCCCTGTTTTTAATTAATTTGCATAATTTGAGTTTTGTTTGTCATGAGCAAACAAAGGAGCTGTTCCGGCTTAGAAGAAAGCTTGTTCAGTAACTGATTTCAGCAAGTGCTGAAAGGCTATAAAAGTGTTGTTTTTTTAAAAAAAGAAGGCAAATAACAACAAAGAATAAATATCACAACCTTTGGTTACTTCTGCTCTCCAACGATACGTTAATAAACAGTAATAAAGTGGGGAGGAGAACTAAAAGAAGGATAAGGGGAGTATATGGAGATTACCCAGAATGTAACCCCAAAAGCTTAAGTGGTTTAGGCCTGGAAACATAACTTTCTTCAGATGCTTGAGCAGTCGCAGAAGAATTATTGGATGTTCTGTGCAATTAACTTACCAAGTTAGCAGTCAGCATAGAAGGTGATTGCTTTTATTGTCACCATAATGTATTAAAGGTGCAAAGTACCCAATATTGTGAAAGTTTTTTCCCTTGTCCCTCAAGAATTTATGGATTGTCAATGTGTCTTACTTAAAATATCCAGTAAATATTGGAAAATAGCTGATATACAGCAGTGAGTCAAAATGTTCATCTGAGTACTAGAAGAATTATTACAGTTTTCTTGAAGCCAAGGAGAATTGCCCATTCTGTCTTTTTTGATTCATGGCAGGTGCTCGTATGCTTTATATATGGCATGCCTGTAATTCCCTAACCTTTTAATCAGTTTAGCTGTTACGTCACTTCAGTCACTGTTGGATGTGTAGTTTACTTTAAAAGGATTGTTAGGGTGCATGCAGATTTTTATTGGAGCAACAGTTCAAGGAAATTATTCTCTTTTCATTTTTAATGTTTCCTCTCTACCATTTTCCAGGTTTAAATTGTCCTAATTGTGAGCTCGCTGTTAGAAGATACTGTGCTTTGCTATATTGTGGCAATGTTATTTATTACCTAGGATTGTTCTACTGTAGCCTGTAGGGGAAAGATGGAGAAAAGGACAGTTTTGCCATTAAGCCAAACCTCAGATGACAGGTGGCAAGGAGCTGTTGCAATAGAAAGCTGGGCACACGTGTCCTGCCCTGCACCCCTCAGCAAGCCGGCTGCCTTCCCATCTGTTTGCTTAGCTGGCTTTGACAGATGGATTCAAAAGGGGTGCTGTCTTGTTCTCTGCCACAGGCTTGGTCCAGGGCAGGATTAGGACCAAGGAAAGGACGAAAAGGTTAAGCATCTATTCCCTTTCTCATCCTTGCTGCTCCCATAACAAACAGAGCCCTTGTGAATGCCTTAAGGTTGAAAAAAGGTTGGGAAATACAGTTGTGGAACCTTTAGACCAGATCTGGTTTTTCACTGAGCAAAGAAAAACTGAGCAAGAGAGAACTGATTGAAAAAGAAACTTCAAATGGTCAGGAGCAGCAAAGCTGAGGAATGATGTATCGATTTTGGAACTGGCGTGGACTAACCAGACAAAGCATCCTGTGATTAAGCTCCATTAATGAAGTTTGTTGAAGTCTTGGCTACATTTAGGACAGATATCTAATCTCCTTGTACATCTCCAAGTGACACGTTTAGGGATTTTTGCAGCAGTTTCACAGCCATGACAGTACCCTCCCAATACTCATGCAAAACGTGCAAAGATGTTGTGGTTGCCTGGGAACAGAAAAGCTTTCTGGTTTGTTGCCATAATTTGGGGTAATTTGTCCTTTCCTTTGTTATGACAATATTTACTGTTTTGTATATAAAGCAACCTTGGCATACAAGACTTTCAGGAAGGCTTGAGACAAGGCATATTAGATGAAAGGAGTCGAACAGTCCCTGCAGTCACAAAAATATACACCCTTGCTTAAGGTTTGTGCTTCGCTCCCCAATGTGCTATATAAGGTAACAGACTAACATGGACAGTTATTCTTCTCAAATAATCTGTTCTTGTCACTCCCTTCTTATCTTGCATACATTTAGATTCAACATAGGAATGCCACGGAGTCCAGGCTAGCTCCTGTGTTTTATTGCCTCTTGCCCAGGATTGTTTATATCTTTACTGTGATAAGTATGTGTGTTTATGTGTCAACTGAGTATAATATTAAGACAGGACAGGCTGCACACTACAGAGGTATTATGAATGCAGTACCCATAATTCTGAGCCAGTTGGAGCCCCATGCGTCTGTAAAATACCAGGTAGAAGAAGGTTGAAGTAAGCTCTTTAACAAGGTGGACACCATCCTACTAAAGCTGAGAGGTAGTTTTTTTGAATGGCCATGTCCTTGCCACCCCAAAGAGAAAGAAAACAGCATTTCACAGAATAATGCCATGTATGCATACTTAAGAATTATTCCAACTATTATTGATTGGAATTCGCACCTAGGTAAGGGTAGAGATAAAACATTTCCAGTAATTCAGAAGCAATTCGAAAATGGGATGGGGTGGGGTAGGGTTTCAAACAAATGAAAAATTAGAAGTTTGCTTTTCCAGATATGCAGTCCATGAAAGATTAAACAATAATATTTCTATTCATCCTTAAGTTTCCTCAATACTTTATTGTCTTTGTTAGAAGAGCCCTCAGAAACCAGAGAAAGTCTTGCATTTGAGAGTTATATAGTTTGTCTTCTCTGTACAGGAATTATAATTATCTGTACATTGTCTTACATAAAGATTTCTGTACAGTATTTTCTTTCTTTTTGGGGGGAGGGAAACAAAAACTCCTAGAGGAGAAAAAATGAACCATTCTACCTTTGGATATGGAATTGTTGCCTTAAATTCATTTTCTTCCAGGTTTCAAAAGATTCTAAAAGTGACACTTTGGATCTTATTCTGAATCTCTGCTTCAACTCAGATACAGTACTTATATGATGCAGC